CGCCGGGTCGCCAATATCGGATTCAGAGTGGGCACAGTCTCCTCGGTCCACACCCACTCCCTTTAGACTGTACACACGTTTTTTTCTTTCGCAAATAATTTATTATTTACGCATAATATACGAGTTTTTCAATGAAGAATAACGGAGCGATGATAAATGTATCGATTGTACCATGATGTATTTTTATTTTTTTTATTTTTTTTTCACTAATTTTCTACCAGAAATCTTAAACCGATCAAAAAATAAGTTAGTAAATTTAATTCAGTTTTAGTTAATATTATTACTATAATATTATTATTATTGGTTTCGGTGTTGAGTTTCATAACGGTCAATTCGCGTTACTATAGGTCACGTACGGTAAAATATGACTTTTTTCATTGTGGCAAGCGAAATTCGAAATTCTAAAGCGATTCTTTTGATTATTTCGACACGAAAAAAAAATGCTTTTTACTCGTTTTCTGTTTTTTCTTTGTACGTAATATACTTTCTAAAATGTTCTCGCGTAAGTCACTGAAAAAATCCTCCTACGATTTTCAATTAACTTCGTCTCTGTATTGTATTATCACCAGCTCTTATTAGTTTTTTGTTCATACACTTGTCGTGTCGGTCGTCTTGCCGGGTTCCTATGCACATTCTTCAGTGTGCGCAGTCTTGAAAAGTTCAAAGATGAAAAAATGAACGTTTTTTAGAGATTTTTTTTCTGAATATTTTTTCCCCGCGGCAAAGTCCTCCTGTCAGTTTCGACGTACGGTACACTGTCCGCCGCCCCCTATTCGGATTTCGAGTTTTTAAATACCACCACGAGTGTGCAATTCGTTTGACGGAACTCAGCCTTCATTCGGCCTCCCTATTTGGCCCGCGACCGAAAAACTGAGGGGAGATGGGTCCCGGAAAAACGGGCCGGTGTACCACGCGCGTTCGATTTCCCGGGCCGAATAATCGCGTCGCACAACAACTCCCGGTACAACGAACCGGCCGCCGAGACGCGTAACGCGATGTATAAAAACGTAGCGCGCGCGCGTCGTGCGCGGCGGCGAACATGACGCCGACGGCCCCTGCGTCGCGTGCAACGCGCCCCGGAGACGTGAACGGTGTCGGGTAACCGAGCCGCGCCGGGGCGATCGCCCCGAAACGCGCGCGCGTGACGAGACCCATGGCGCTGATACGGCCGTCGCCGTCGATTTATTGCCGTCCCAAAAGCCGACCGGCCGGTCGGCCGGGCGAGCGGGCGCGCGCGCGCGACTCGCGTGATTTATTCGCGGCGGCCGACCACGCGCCCGTAATAACGTACACCGCGATAATACGATATCCGCAATGTTATTATTCCTTTCCCCCTCCCCTCCCCCACGCCCATCTATCGCGGGTTTCTCTTTTCTCTCTCTCGGTTTTTTCACGCCGCGTGCCGCGTGTATTACGGCGTCCGGGACATGGCACCGCGTAGGTGCAGGTTCACGGCCGGAGAAGAAAATCCTCCGGGCCGCGCCCGCAGTACCTCGCAATACTGTCGAAGGCGCGTGTTCGATATTTCCCGCAAATGAAACATTTTTTCTAGCGTCCGTTCGTGGTCGGCGTACCCCGACGGTACGCCGACTCGGACGGGCGCCCCGGATAACGTTTCGCCCAGTGTGATTGCCGCTGTTAACGGCGTTATCGAATTCTCGCCAAACCTCTCCGTGCGATTACCAGCGCCGCGTCGATTCGTAACGGGGAATACAATCGAAATGTGTTTGTAGTTTCTAACCGTTTTCGTATGGACGCAGACATTCAATTACGCCGATAGGCCACGAGCACAGACACACCAGATATGTAAGCGGAACATTTAATATCATTTCGCCGAATCTCAATAAAGTGTTTGGTCGTAAAAGTATACTACATACTCTCGGGTTTGAACTTGTGTCGCGTTCGCCGTACATCAACATAGACCATTTCGAAAATGTATTTGTTTTCGAGAAATATGAAAAAACATCAATATTTATCTAATTTGTAATATTGGCCATATATACTTTTTTTTTTTGTTGTTGTTATAAATCAACACACGTTACGATTTCTTTATTCTGTTTTTTTTTCTCGTCGATACATCAAACGTTGTTCCGTGCATGTATTATTTATTATAGGTATGCGATTTTATGTTGTACGTTCCGTTCAGTTTGATTCGACATGTTAAATTTGTTTTATTATACTCTAGTGATAAAAGCCGTGCCCCCGTGAGCACAAGCTTTGCTTGTAGGGGTTGCCGCAGATTTTTATGTTAATATTTTTTACATTATGTACATACCTATTGTCGTGATAAAGATTTATTGTCATTATCGTTGTAGGCAACATTAAGGCCGAGTCGCTCAGACATTCCGTAACGTCTTACGGAACCGTTAGAGCGCGTACAGACCTGTAAACCGGATCAGTGACGTTATTGAGAATGTTTTAAGGGGAAGGGAAGGGATATCAAAATAAATCTTCGAGGCAATCTCGTGGGAGGTTGGCCCTACACAACCCCCTCTCCTTTACTGACATCTAATAACTCATCGCCGGGGCTCAGAGTTTTCTATTAAACGGCACATCTGCGGTGTTGAAATCGCAACGTCCTTGAACGCGCGTAATACGTAAGCTCAAAGTGACATTTATCATTTGATTTAACGTAAACTATTAGGAATATTTCTTACCCAGTATAGCAATAAACTATGGATATTTTGGTACCTGCCAATATAATTAAACATTTATAATTTTTTAATTTCATAAAAGTTTTGAAAATTTACATTTGAACATCCAATTTTTATTAAAATAACGATAAACTATATATAAATACACTGAACCAGATTGGACGTTTTTTATTAATTACAAATCTGTAAACTGTTTACAGACCTGTGACTATAATTTACAGAACCAAATTCGTATCTGCAACTATTTGCAAAACGATTTACAGATCGGTATTATCATTTTATCAATTTCGATTATCACCGAAATTTCTGATAGTTTTTTTTTTTTTTTTTTTTTTTTGAATTTATGTGTACTTATTACTGAATTTTTTAACTTTTATTATGGATTTGTTAACCTCATCGTCGTCAAGTAATGGCAAATTTATTATCTAAGTGATGACCATATTGCCGAGGCATAGATATATTCGGGATAGACCGTATTCGCCGATTGAATTTAATGATATAGATTTTCAACAACGATTCGGGTACTAATCTAACGGCTGATAATAAAACAATAAAATGTGTTTTTTTTCGGGGGCACCAAGATGCCACAATTTTATGATTTATCATTGTTCAAGGAATCAGGGCTCGGCTATCTACTCGAATAAGATAACCGTGGTTCGATGTTATCGAATGTAAATGGTTTGGTTCATCCAATTATCGTTGTTATCATTATATTTTTATTTACAGATTCATTAAAACGTTTTTTTGTATAATACTACTGTTATATGTTACAGACCCATTGTAATTTACAGGCGTCTATAAAATGTTTTTACAGAACGTTTTGTGCGCCTGGCATAACTCATTAAAATTCAGTTGGTTATTGTAAAAAAAAAAAAAAACTAATAACTATTTATAATACGATCGGCAAATCGGTGTTATTTAATTTTTAACATTTCAAGTTTAGAAAAAAAAGTTGTAAAATTGATTTCTTTCTTTTAAGTCGATAAACTAAAAACCCGTTTATATTTAAAAACAACTAAACTGTGTCGTTTTACAATCTCGGTTATCTAAAAATTATAAAAACTACAACCACGGCCGTAGACAATAAAATAACGGATAGGACATAAAAACTTTAGTTATAACTTTTTAAAATTATAGGTACAAGGCATAAAAAATATCTCTTAACAGTCCTTTATTGTACTACATAAAAAAATAACTTTTTAATGTATAAAAAATTTAATTCGGTACCATTTTGTTATCAAGAAATAAGGAAATAGTAAATATTGTCAAATTTGTTTCCGAGTTTTTAATCTAGATACGAGTTTATTTTAAACTTTCGTTGATTGTGTTTTTTTTTATTCGCAAGCTCTAAGCGTTTTATAATGAACCGCAGTTTTCAGAGGAGTTTGTTAAACTCAACGAACTGAGCCTCAGCGCTATTGGAAAACTGTATCCAATGAATATCGGAACAGAAACGAGTACCGTAAATTAAGTGAAACCTATTAGATTAAAAACATAGAGAAACGAATCCTCGGTGTGGTCATTTTTATGAAAACCTGGAGGATTTTTCCTCGATAATTTCCTCCTAGTGTGTGCCCGCCTTAATGTTTCGATCGGTAAAAAGACTACGGTATGTGCCCCCGCGATCGTGCGATTCGAGAAAGAGAGAGACAGAGAAAACACGTTTATTTTGTGTTTTTGTCGAGGAACCGGCCGCGGCTAATGAGCTATGTAAAAGTCGACTACCGACGTATCGGCAGCGGCCGGCAGTCGCTGTTTTCACGTGACGAAAACAAATATATTATACAAATTTAAGCCTCGGGATTGCATAAATTACGGGGGAAAAATCGTTCTCCGGCCCCCACATCGTTATCCTATGCAGTGTATATTTTACACGATCCGTTAGATCGCCTTATTAGACACGCGTGTCTCAATAATATGCGCAATCGCCGCCCTTAGGTATCGTCCGACATAGTGTGCAGCTCGTAAATACGCGTATATCATTTCAAATTTCAAACGAAATGCAAACGAGATCGCCGGCCTTAATTATATAGCTGACAGCAGTGTTGTATGAGGATAAATTTTAAAATAGATAAGGATACGGGATAATTGCCGGTATAATATTTATCTAGATGAAGATAAAAGATACGAGTAACTAATTAATTATACATTCAGATTATATGAAGATAGATATTAAGAGATTTGTATGTAGATTAGAGAAGGTAATTTCGTTCATTAACACCTATATCATTAAACTAGAGGTGGTAAAAGCGGTAAAATTGTACAGGATTTATTACACGTCTAGATTTGATTTAAAAACTGAATATTTTATCTATTATTATTTCTAATAAATGCATGGATTTAACTAGGCTGTTCAATTATTTATCCCGGATAACTATTATTTCTCATAGTCAAGTCAAAATGCAGAATATATTCATCTAGAATAATCCCAATATACTACTTACTATACAGTGCGTAGGTAAACACATTTTAAAAAAAACGATTTTAGAACTCCCCCTCTTTAGCCTCATTAGATTTTGACCAAATTCCTGTATGAAACCACACACCTGAAGTATAACTTTCTAAAAAGGTTTAGAAATACCGTGAAGATATTATGATATAAGATATTGCGTACAAAACTAATACCGTAGTCTAATTAACAAACCGATCTTCCGTTCTGAAATCAGATATTCGGATGTTTTTCTTTCACGCCTCTTAACTGTTTGCCGACATTTATTTATAATAAAACTGACGTCTTATTATATTGTGCGGTTACGTCGTCGTCCGAACCAATTCTGAGTTTAAAAAAAAGTTACCGTCGTCACCGCGAAAAAATTACGTTTTTTTTTTTTTCCATCCGGATCGGTTGAATTTAAACAAGAGAACGAAAATTGTTCAATCGGTCTAATTTTTATCCGTCTGCAGATAATACGGTACTCGGACGTCCGTTAAAGTATAATTCTCGAAGAACCGCACGCTTGCATATTGTTGGATAACTCTGGACAACCAATTATAAAAAGAGCTGATATTGCTGACGGTTTTATTTTAATGGGAATTTTCGTTTCTGAACTAATGATTTTTTTTCGGCAGTGTTTTTAGTCAATTTTGAAATTGGACGTTAATAAGCTGTTGCTAATATAATTATTTAAGTGCTCACGTTGGTATTCTATAAAAAATAAACGTCTACAGTGTTTTACAAGGCGATTCGTTGGCAGTGAATTTTCGTTTTCGGATTGACATGATTCCTCGGATCCTTATCGTTTTCGGACAACTGCGGGCCGTTCTAATGCGTGCTCGCAATAATATCGTAATGATATCATTCGTATTGTTCATTTTAACAAAAACCGTAGATTTTGGATTCTGAGCGGAGCGAGCAATTTATTGATTTTGCAACGATGTTTATTTTTTTTTTTATGTGAACACTTTTTCTACCAGAAAGCTTACTCCGGTTATCAAGCATAGCACTTTTACAGCATTTTTAAATGTTCTCTAACCCTCTGTGTGGTACTTTAGAGGGCTTAATTTTGAAATTTTGATTAACATTCGAGATAATGAGGAAAATCTGATTTTTTACGTTATGAAAGATTGAAAGATTAAAAACAAGGTTGTCCGTTGGTAAGCGTTTCTATTTGTTTTTCGTCATTGTTAAGTTTTTATTATTTTAATCTTTTTCAAACAGTCACTGTTGCTATGGAATCGCACGTTGTTGTACTAATTTTACCATACTAACGCTATTAACGTTTTTTCGTTGTTTATTTGTTTATACACATATACATTAAATTCCCGTCTGTATCCTTCCTTCCCAACTTCCCACGTGCAACAGTGGCTGTACCCGCGTGCGAAATATGGCCGTCTTTTTTTCACACGGACTTTACACCGTGTGTAAATTCGACGCCCACGCGTCGGGTGGCGCGGCCGGCGCGAGTAACGTGTTCCTCTGATCGAAAATGTAGTAAAAAGCGTAAATTCTGTGTAAGAAAAAAAACAAAAAAAAAACCGCGCACCCTCTGATGAAACGAACGAAACACCGTTTCATGTCGGCGCCTGCGTCAAAGCGACGGACTCATTAAACGGACCGGGTCGAGGTGGGATTTCTCCCCCCCCCACCGCCATTCCCCTCACGCGTCGTTGCCGGTCATCGCGCGAAAACGCCGGACGGCGCCGCCGGCGGCCGACGTGAACTCGTAACGCGAAAAAATAACACCGCCCGACAATAATGTAACGATAACAGAACGTTACGGAGAGAACACCCCGTGGCCATATCACGTCGGACCGCGCGCACGGCCCGTACAGAGGCGGGCGCGCAATATTATGTGGCCGAGACGACGAGCCGAAACCGCGCGCCGATGACGTTGCCGTCCGTGTTGTACGCGAGTTTCGTACGGCTTATTTAAAGGGGAAAATAAATAAACACAAATAGGAATGACGAGAGAAAAAATAATAATACGCGATAATAATATATTATTCTATTACCCACGACGACGACGACCGTCGCCGTTGCCGCAGCCGCCGCCGTCGTCGTCGTCGTCGTCGTCGTCGCCGTCGTCGTAAATCATTCCGCGCGCGCGGTTGATTGAGAGCCTCCGACCACAGCCGTCGTGCGCGCTGCCCGTCACTTATTAATTTACGGCGAGCGCGCGCGCATTATTTCCATGATACATGGCATTTTAATAATAATAACGATAATAATAATAATAATAATAATAATAATAATAATAATAGTAATAATATGATTATAATTACACACACCGGGCATCGTCGAGACCCGCGATCGCCTCGATATTATTATTAATATTATATAGGTAACCTAACCTAACTTTCTATTGTTCGGCGCGCGAAACCATTTTTCAACCGTTCGAGACGGGCGATTGAAAAGAAATTGAAAAAAGAATTTAAAAAAAATACGCTCGCGCACATTGAATTAACGCGCTTAAACGCGTACGGGTATTGCGGCGGGCCGTCATTCCGATATTCGCTAGGGTCGGGCACATAATAACACTGCGCGTAATAAGTATAAAAACCGTGAGCCCGACAAAATACCTATGTCGTCGCTCGCCAAGTCCCCCGACCATAATTTAACACTCGTGCATAATATTTGTGCCGAGCATACCGTATGCGCTTTCGGTAACATATCGCTTAATCAAATAAAAATCGTTTTAAATCGGATCAACGTATTGTAATATAAATTTTAATAAACTTTTCGCTGAAAAAGAATCATATCCCGTGTTAATATCTCTGTACCACTACGGATTATGATAATATTATTGATTATTATCTGATGTCGTGCTATTAACTCCTCTTATCAGTTATCGTAGATCAATGAATGGTCGAATCGTAGTGATTTATGTGTCGGCTCCAGGGCCGGTTCGCGTTAACCTGGTAACCGACCCGTGTAGGTACTTTAAAAGGTACCCAAAGGTATTTTAAAATCTAGAGACGGGCAAACGCATATTCCTACCTCTCCCCTCCTCTTCAAATTACGACGCTGTAGTGTAGTGTAGAACGCGACGAGTTGATTAGTCGAACAATTAGAAATACTACAAGTATAAACTGTAAAACGTAAATATCGACGGGGGCGTCCGAAGAACATAATATAAAGTGTACGCGGTCTCGGTACCGTGCACGTAAAATAAACGGATTTCATTGGCTGATTAAAAATGATGGGTTTTACTGCTCCTAGAAAGTCGGTGAACCTAGTTTAAACCTACACCTGGAACCCTATAGTCGATGGAATACCGTCGCGGGTTTAACTAAAAAAGAGAAAAAATGGAAATATTTAATGCACCCAATTCGTTCCGTTCCTCCTCTTAAATAGACTTTAGATCTGCCACTGATCTATTATCATAGAATAGGTACTTAAACACGCGAAAGTAACGTAAATATTGAATCAATACGGACTCTCTTCGCACGATGTGCGGGCCGCTGTTGTAGATAAGAAGTTGGGAAGCTAGGATATAAAAGGAAAATAGGTGTATGTCTATTTATATAACGATTAACCATTGCCTCCCAATGACCTCCTTAAAATATCAACTAGAAACAATTCGCTTTCAGAAAAGTTGCTATCAAGTATAAACTTGATACATCGGAGCAAGATCTCTGGTAGAATTTTTGTACAGAATAAAAAAATAAAAATAAACATCATTGTAAAACCAATACATTCCTCCCGCCGTTCAGAATCTAAAAGTATAGGGAAACACTGTCAGTAACACAAAACGCGAGTCAAATCACAAAACACAAATCGAAATACGATTTTTTACTATAAAAGATCGAAGTTGTATACAACAAATACTACGATAAAAAAAAACCTCAACTCGCGTTTTGATTACGGTGATAATGTGTTAAAACGATAATGCGCATAGCATTACCAGTTTAGTCTTTCTTATTGGTGAATTTATGGGTACTCGCGTTACAAAATCGCAATCGCGACTGTACATCGAAGATCGGGTAACGATTATAGCGGAGAGAAAAAAAAGAATATTTAAAAATCGTATCAAACTATAAATCGGGCAACACGTTTCAAAATAATAATACGGTGTGTTACCTTCACACATCACGTCTCGGTGCTCCGGAACGCACGCAATCGTATTGCGAGCTGTGATTAAATCGCGTTGCCAACTGCGCAGCTGCTACAGTTATTTAGTCGATTTTTGTAGAATCGGATTATACCGGGTGTTCGGAAAAACGGTACGTTTAACGTACTTACAGTTTTAAAAAGACTGACATATTCGCACGACGGGTGGGCCACTGTTGTAGACGATAAGTTGGAAAGATAGGATATTGCGGGAAATTTAAATTATATCTATACTTAACGATAAACCATTGCTCACGAAAAACGATTAGAGCGAAGTTTCTATTAGTACGTGCATTTTACCGTTTTTCGAATTATTATGAAAATCGTTTGGAAAATCAAAAAAAAAAAAATACGTCTTTAATGTACCAACTATAGATAAAATTTCTTTTCAGAAAAGGTGCTGTACTCGATACACCGGAACAAAGTTTTCCAATACATAATTCCACGCTACGCTCCGAATCTGAAAGGCAATAATATTTTTTTTTTATTTCAGTCGGTTAAAACGCATCGTAAAATGTCTTCGAACGGCGACGGCGGCGGACGGATATCGAATTTGGTTCGCGGACGACTTTGCCGCTGACTTTCCCCCTGGGAACCCGCTGCCGACATTTTCGCCGAGTCACCGCCGTCGCCGTGTCGCGAAACCCGTTAAAACCGATTGTCGACCGCTTCGAGGCTGTTAATTAATTATGCACGCGTAAAAGAGACCGCGAAGAGTCTTTTGTCGCCGAGACCCGAACGAGGCCGTCTGAACGTAATCGCCCGAGGCTCTTTAGATTCCGATACGGCTGCCTACCGGAAAGTTTGAATGAACAACGACACGACGATTCTCGTGTTTAAGGCTCGTCGATAAAACGATCGATAACGACAGCGAGCAATCGTTGTCGCCTTGTTACTCCCGAAGTCGCTTCTCAAATCCGTCTTCTTCCGTCGATAATGACGAAAATCGCGAATTTTTTCGGACACTGTCATATCGCCATCACGCGCGCCTAGCAATTTACTGCGATTGTTGT